GCTCTACCCTGTCCGATGCAAATAAAAAAGTGCCCTCATGGCGCCTTGCGCTGATGTGTCCGTGCTAAGTGCAAAGTGCACCATCAAACGCCATCAAACGCCTTGTGCGGATGGTGAAGCATCACCCTTCTAGTGTGAGTGCATGTACACTAGCATTCATCCTACAATTCTATATTCAAAGGAATATTCCATGTAGCGCTTTATTAAGTGCTCTATATTTTCCTCTCTTTCTGATATGGTACAAAGTTCCCAAGCTTATTTCAAGCTTTCCAAAGAAAACATGGAAGGTTTTGAAAACACTCAAACTAAATAATAAATTTTGAAGATCCATTTTGAAAATTCCTCAACAGTTGCTTCCTCTAGAGTCGAGATACCATAAGTTGTCTTGTTGTGCCTCGTGGTCTTTGTATGCAAGCAAACTGATGGATCCCCTGTCCCCTTCTTTGATAAAATGGGCTTTCTTTTCTTCAATGTTAGTATTTCGATGCCAACAGTCCTTTGCGGAGTGTCCAAAATTTCACATATTTGGTACTATACTTGAGGTCTTCCAGATTGTTAATTTGGTCGGGTGAATCTTCCTTTTCCTCGACTTTTTAGGAGTTCTGCCAAGATCCTTTTTGTTGTTTTGGCGTTGGTGTTGATTATTTTGCTAAAATCTTCCTCGTCCACGACTTAGTTAAAATCGACATTGGTTGGATGCTTTTGATTTAAAATTCAACTTTGTTTAGAGAACTTGGTTGAGTGCCTTCTGTTCATCTTGTCTTGCCAATTTTTGTTCATAGGCTTGCAGGGAACCCACAAACTCTTCAATTGTCATTTCTTCCAAGTCTTTGGATTCTTCAACGACGACGACAATATAGTCGAACTTTGGGTCGAGGGACCTTAACATTTTCTCCATGACACGAACTTCAGTAAGTGTCTCTCTATTCCATCTAAGTTGATGTACAATTAGCATAAGTCTAGTATGGTAATCAAAAATCGACTCGGAGGGCTTCATTTGAATTAATTCAAACTCATTTTTCTGCACCTTGAAAGGTTTAGCAGAGGAGGTTCCGAATTTCTTTTGCTGTATGTGCTCCTACAATGATCTTGAACATTGATTCGACCAATCCTCCATGGATCGCTTGTACTGCAATATCATCATTTTTCCTTAAATTTTTAAGGAGGTTTTTTTTCAGCAATTGTCAGATCGTCTTCATCTTCTTTTGACAAAAGCGTTGTATAGCCTTCTTCTATGAATTCATATACTCATTTGGCTCATAAAATAGCCTTCATTCAGATACACTAATTGTCATAGTTTTCTTTGGTGAGTATCGGGATTGAGGAATCTGAATTTGAATTCACCATGGTGCCTTTTTAATCTTCAATAGGAATCTGAATTTTTTTGGAAATGAATTTAAAAAATCTGACTATACGGATGTGTTCGAAATGCTCCAAATAGCTGGAAACCACCATTGGATAGTTGTGATTGAACTCTGGATGACTTAGTTTTAGCTGAAATAAATTGCACGGTTCGGATCTGCTTCGAATCTTGTTCGCGAAGCATTGGATAAAATCTTCTGAACTCTGAGAGTGGCTGGCGCATGGAAATGGCGTCAAAGCATGCGAAGGAGTGTGTGGGCTCCCTGAAGCTCAGTTTTTTACACGATTTTTTTCTTTGTGATTGTCTCGACAAGACCTACACATTAGTATGATCAAAAGTTGATTTCAACAATTTTGATTTCTGGGCAATTCTAAAAATTGCTCCGTTCTTCTTCTCTTTTGCAGAAATTCTAAAATTTTAGGCTACCTTGGCTCTTATGGCTCTGATACCACTGATGGGATATGGGAATGGGATCCCAGTGTATTCTTTGAGAATTTAATTGAAGAACAAACACTCTGTTTTTTATTTCTGAAATGAATTTGGATACATGTAGTATCTCTTTTACAAATTGAATTGATTTATTTAAAACAACCTAAATCATCTATTTATAGGTTTCCATTCAGGTGTGAATACCTTATGGCTATGAGCTATAACCAACTCAATTCCCATCCTTTTCATATTTGCTTCATGGTGAAGCTTTTGACGGTTCTTCATCTAGATAGCCATTTAAAAATGTTGATTTCACATCCATCTGATAAATTGGCCACCTTTGTTGTGCGGCTAAGGAGATCAAAAGTCGGATTGTCTCCATTCAAGCAACTGGAGCGAAAACTTCTTCATAATCAATTCCATACTTTTGTTTGTAGCCCTTGACTACAAGTCTTGCTTTATACTTCTCGACTTCTCTTTTGGCATTTCTCTTTGTTTTGTAAATCTATTTTACACCAATTGGTTTGTGTCCTTTTGAAAGCGCTGTAAGCTTCCATGTGTTATTCATGTTGATAATCAATCAGCAATAGCACTAGCGAAGAATATAGTGTTTCACGAATGAAACAAACACATTGATATGAGCTATCACTACATCTGAGAGCAAGTGAAGAATAAAAAAGTGAATTTCATCCCTTGCAAGTCTCAAGACCAAATAACAGTTATCTTCACAAAGCCATTGACACATGAACTATTCAAAAGACTAAAGATACTGCTTGGAATAATAAATAAATAAAATAAAAACCCTGTGAATTGGGTTTGAAGCGGGATGTTGGAAAATACAAACCCAACTCAACAACAAAGATCCAAAAGTCTAAAGAAGAAAGAAGAAGAATTGAGAAAGAGGAATAAAGATTGAAGAAGGTAGGAGAAGCTTCATGGAAGCCCTCTATTGGTGACCGTCAAAAGCTTCACCATGAAGCAAATATGAAAAACTTGGGAATTGAGCTGGTTATAGCTCATAGCCATCAAGTATTCATACCTGAATGGAAATCTATAAATAGATGATCCAGGTTGTTGTAAATAAATCAATTCAAATTGTAAAAGAGATACTACATGTATCCAAATTTATTTCGGAAATAAAAAACAGAGTGTTTGTTCTTCAATTAAATTTTCAAAAAATACATTGGGATCCCATTCCCATGTCCCAATAGCATTAGGAAAATGTTAATTTTGCCAATACCTCTCATTTCCAACTTCTGTTAAGTATCCCCCTTCACTGTGACTGGCTCAACTACCAAAAAGAGAGCCATTTGAAAAAAGGCAGTCACTTCTTACAACTAACATTGTCTCAAAATACATAATGATTCCTATTGAATGATAGCCAAATCAATGCAAGAGCCAAAGACCTCAAACCTGCTACAACAATGGTAGCTACTAGTAGTAGTAGACCCTTTGTTGCACATCATAGCAAAGTGTGTGCCTGCCATCTCTCCCTTGAGATCTAGAGCATCACTCAAGCACTCCTTTATTATGTACCTCTCCTCACTGTTCCTATCTCTTCTTTTCTAGTGCCTGTTTCTTCTTTACAAGTGCATTTTTCTGTTTCTTGTTGTCAAGTGCATGTTTCTTCTTTTCAAGCTCTTTAATAGTTTCATCCAGTTTGGTGATGGTTTGCTGCAACTTATCTACCTTCTTCTGGGTACTATTAGTTTCTCCATTTTTTTCAATAATGGCAAGCTCTTTAGAATCTTTGACTACAAGTTGCTTCGCAAATGGGACCACCAGTCCAGCAAGATTAAGGTCTACAAGAACGTCAAGATCAGCTTGGAGACCAAAGTGAGCACGAACCAATTTCGCCAAACGGGCAATGGCAAACTTAATTTTGAAGTCTGCATATTGAGCAAGAGCGAAGGAGTGAAACCAAGTCAAAAGTAAACTTGTAGTTATGTTCACAACCTTGGTGTTGCGCATGCTATGTATAGCTTCACATATCATTATGAATAATGTATTTACCTTCTTACTTTTAGTCTCGATCTATTACTAAAATCCTCATCTTTGAATAATAAGTCTTTAAGGATAGACACTTGGTTCTTAAAAATCATGTAGTTTCCATCCTTAATAATTTTTGATGTGGAATCCCAATTTTCCCAAGGCCTTGCAACTTCAACTTCAAAAACAAACTTTTCCATCAAGGTCGCAGGCATACGTATTTTGTTCCTGTCCTCATCCACGTCCTCGTATAAAGATAGAAAGATTTTTGGAAGGATGGCACCTTCTTGAACATCCCTTCCGTAAGATTCGAAAAGACCGTGCATTTCTTTGTTCTCATTCTCTGTATATGAATCTAAAAATTCTTTTAAAGTCACTGCAAGTGGCTCCTGAAAAACACCGAAAACTCATATTCAAGATGCTGACTTTTTGAATGAGTTAAGTAATAGTAAAAGCACAAGTTCAAAGAAAATAAAAGAAAAAGAAAATGGGGACGTAAAAAATAAAATTGTAAAAGAGCTTGAAGAGCGTAGGCACTTTCACCCAAACGATCTAAGTAGAAATAAGGTATTTGCCGATAGAACATTTTTAAGAGCAATATCAATGGAAGCAATTTTTACCTTAACATTTTCATGCTTTGACCACTCTTCTTCTAGAATGTGTATGATCTAATTATCAAGATAAAATAAAGTTAGAACAACTCAATAAACAACTGAATAGTAAAGGGCAAAAAATGAAAAGTGGAATTAAATTATTAAAACAGAATTACTTCTCCACATTGTCCATAATTCTTTTGACACTTTGAACATTCACAAGAAGTTATCAGGAGTTAATTTTTTAACTGCATCTTGACCCCAAACACGTTAAATACTTTGAAAGGTGAAATGTATCCTCAACTAGAGTGTCATAAACTAATGCAATATGTTCATGCAATTTTACATAAAATTGGATTGGAGCATTCGGGTTTTTTTTTCTTTTTAATGTAGTAACATTTTATTAATTAAAATAAACATTAAAGATGACATATTCTTAAGCAATAAGACATCGAAAAAACTCACTGAACTGCTCAAATATGCAAACCAGCAAAACAGAGAAGGAGGTTGGTAAGGTGCCAACTACCGACAAACTCATTGAACCCACTAAACAGAGCATCATCCTTGCTCATCAAAACAGGCTACACAGATCAACATTGAAAACCAAAAAAAAAAAAAAAGAAATCCCAATGCAGAAATTGAAAATCGAAGCAAAACCAATTAAGTGTTACGAAACAAACCACTCAGATGCGAAAACCTTCAACAAAAAACTACTCCAAAAAAGCACCAACCACATTAATGGCCTCTCTCCACCCTTATGAAGCACATCAATAGCCTAAAAGTTCATCCATCTAAATCTTAAATAAAATAAAAAAAAACAAAACACTGTCCAAATTAACCGTAGAGTCCTTAGCCAACACAGGAACTACATTGCCTACCGAATGACTTATCTAGAACCCTGTCAATCGCTTCAACAAATTAAGGTTTTAGAGACAAAAATTTAAGGACGAAATCACTTTTTGAGAATGAAATGTCTTATGTTCAATGACAAAATTGGGCATGGCATTTAGTAAGATCAATGGAATCCCTGTTTTAAATCAAAAGAAAACTACGGGATCTTATACTGAGTCCTTTTTCTTTATGGGTCATTTTAATCAATTTTAATTTGATATGTAAAACTCAATGCAGACATACCTCAGATACCACGCAATGAGGATGAGCAATGTACTGGCATCTATCCGTACAATAATAAGTTGGTAGCGCTAGATCCCTTCTTTTTTCGCAAGCGTCACAGAAAAACTCTCCATCATCACCATCCTCCGGGCGATCTTTCCTTGGATGATTTGTGAAGGTAAGGGTATGGACATGACTTTTGTATTTGAGGGTAGGCGGTAATGCTGAAATACAATGGCCCTGGTGATTGACATTGCACCACACACAACGGAATAAAGGGAAACGGGAGTTCTTACTACAAGTACTGCAGGTCATTTTATAATGTGACACATCGGAGATTAAAACAAGCAGGTGGCGGTGAAATTTAGTCCTGCGCACAATCGTGGGCCTTGACAAGAAAGCACATCTAACGTCCATGTACCATTGACAATGGAAACATTCGTAGTAAAAATCATAACAATAATTTAAACATACACCACATTCCAGGTTGCGTGTGTATACATGACTTTGTCGATGGTAGTGGAGGGTGGAGGGGAAGAGTGTGCTGAGGGTGAAGGAGGTGTTTGATGATTTCCTGAGGCAAATTAGCACACTTTTTATGAAGCAAGACACAGCATTCAGGGCAAAAATAGATGGAATCCTCCAAGGGAAGCGAACACGCATAGCAGGTATAAGGAAGGTTGTCTTTATTGTGGCAGAGAACTAGGGGATGGGAATGGGTGAATTGTTGAATCTGAGTCTGACGTGCCGGTTTCAAACAAGCACAATGAACGTCTACAACAAACTTGCACTTATGACAATGGTAGGCGAAATCGTCCCGCCTCTGGCAACAGAGGCTGCAGATGAACTCTCGGTCATAAAAGCCTGATCGAGATTGGAGCAAAAGAGGATGAGAGGAGTGAAATGGGTCTCGATTTTCGAGGGCAACTCGGCGCAAGAATGGTGGAGCAAACCCTTGCACTGTAGGCATACATAGAGCCAATCTCCATCAATAGTCAAGCTGCAGCAAGTGCATTTATAAGTCAAATTCTTATCCTTATAGCACAATATCAAGGGATGAGGGTGATTGGGAAGCTGCGGCTGCTGAAATTGAAACTGAATCTTCTTCTTCTGGTGGTGGTACTGTCGTTTGTTGTTGTTGTTTTTGGTGAGGAGAGCGCAGTTGACATCGAGAAAAGCACGGTCCACACTTGTAGGCGAAGGCTCCATAACAATTGCCGCCACAAGCATGGCAAAAGTCGGTTCGACGGACTTTTTCAGAAAGGAAAAACATGTGGAGAGGGTGAATGGGATGGTGATCCAATTGAAGTGGAATTTCAGAGCAGGAATACTCATGGATGCGCATTTTTTCAGGGCAGAGATTGCAATGATAAAAGTTGGATTCAGAGATTGGTTGTTTGCAGATGCTGCAATTGTCTTTACAGTCCTCGCCTTTATCATTCAGCTCCAGTTCATGCATGTGTAAGAAATGCTTTGACATCGACTTCGTCTTCCTCATCGTCGCCGTCTCTCTCTCTCTCTCTCTCAAGTCAAGACTCGAATGTTGAATTCACCCCATGTGAAGGAGGTGATGCTCTTCCATGGGAACACACCTTGGTCAACAATGGAAGGCCACCAACCATCTTGAAGCTTGGCGGCCACCAACCATCTTGAAGAGTCAAGGATGGAGGCTGCCCAAAGGCTCTCCCACCTACTCCCTCACCTATAAATGGAGGTTGAGAGGAGAGAGCAAAATGTGAGCAAACCGTGAGACAACAAAGAGAGTGAGAGATGTGAGGCGGAGAGACCGTCTCCCTCGGTGTGAGCGAGGGAGACGGGTGAGTGGCTGAGTGAGGAGAGTGTGAGCTCCTCCTCTATTGTAATCTTTCTGTAATCTCCTCATTGGTATAGTGATAACCGGTTACTCTCCCGTGGACGTAGGCATTGGGCCGAACCACGTAAAATATTGTCTCCTTGTGTGTGGGTGTGTTTTTCTGCTTGCAATGATTTCTATAAGGTCTTGGGCGGGATCCCAGATCCCAACAAGTGGTATCAGAGCCTCGTCGGTGGCGTTTCGGAACAAAAACAGCGTGTTGTCCGAAACTGCCCAGAAATCAAGTTGCTCGAAATCCGATTTTGAGCATACCAGGAGCAAGGGCTCGAGAAGAGGAGTCCAACCATATAAAGCAGACACCCAGAGGAGGTCCCACGCGCCCTCACGCGCTACCTGAAGAAGGAGAGTGAGGCCCAGTCGCTGCACGCGTCCCCACGCGCCGTTCAGGCAACCGGCGCGTGGTCCCAGTCTCAAGCACGCGCTCCACGCGCGGCTGAAGGAAGAAGGCAAGTGGGGAGAGGCGCGTGTGTGGCACGCGCGTGCCACGTCAGCAGCCACGTCAGCAGCCACGTCAGCAGCCACGTCAGCAGCCACGTCAGCAGCCACGTCAGCAGCCACGTCAGCAGCCACGTCAGCAGCCACGTCAGCAGCCACGTCAGCAGCCACGTCAGCAGCCACGTCAGCAGCCACGTCAGCAGCCACGTCAGCAGCCACGTCAGCAGCCACGTCAGCAGCCACGTCAGCAGCCACGTCAGCAGCCACGTCAGCAGCCACGTCAGCAGCCACGTCAGCAGCCACGTCAGCAGCCACGTCAGCAGCCACGTCAGCAGCCACGTCAGCAGCCACGTCAGCAGCCACGTCAGCAGCCACGTCAGCAGCCACGTCAGCAGCCACGTCAGCAGCCACGTCAGCAGCCACGTCAGCAGCCACGTCAGCAGCCACGTCAGCAGCCACGTCAGCAGCCACGTCAGCAGCCACGTCAGCAGCCACGTCAGCAGCCACGTCAGCAGCCACGTCAGCAGCCACGTCAGCAGCCACGTCAGCAGCCACGTCAGCAGCCACGTCAGCAGCCACGTCAGCAGCCACGTCAGCAGCCACGTCAGCAGCCACGTCAGCAGCCACGTCAGCAGCCACGTCAGCAGCCACGTCAGCAGCCACGTCAGCAGCCACGTCAGCAGCCACGTCAGCAGCCACGTCAGCAGCCACGTCAGCAGCCACGTCAGCAGCCACGTCAGCAGCCACGTCAGCAGCCACGTCAGCAGCCACGTCAGCAGCCACGTCAGCAGCCACGTCAGCAGCCACGTCAGCAGCCACGTCAGCAGCCACGTCAGCAGCCACGTCAGCAGCCACGTCAGCAGCCACGTCAGCAGCCACGTCAGCAGCCACGTCAGCAGCCACGTCAGCAGCCACGTCAGCAGCCACGTCAGCAGCCACGTCAGCAGCCACGTCAGCAGCCACGTCATCTGCCACGTCATCCGCAGGAGGA